TTTAATTAAAAGTGCTCAACGTTTTCAGGCTACTCTGCCTCTCTCTATTGATTGGTTCTGTTACTTCTGACAAAATTGTCCATTGTGATAAGTACAGATTCCTGTAAGCAAGGGATGGCAGATTTTCCTGCTTCAGTCCACAGTCATTCTCCAGAAAAACTGATGAAAGTCACTGAATAGACTCACTTACCTCAGGTATGGAGGTGGGCAGGGAGGTGTCCACGCACACCTCGATGATTTCCAATAAGGACTTCAGGCACACTGGCTGGGGGACAGACTCACATAGGGGAGCTATGCATGGCCTGGTCCTTTGGGAGGAGGGCAGCCTGTTTAAGGATGGGGCACGGTGAGTTTTGTGAATCTCAAACTGTTCTTGTCCTGGTGACATTTTGCTCTTTTAAAATTACACTGCACTGAGCTCCCGGGACAACTACGGTATTACAGTGGCCGTCACTTGCTGGGAAGTGGCTGGACAGTGGACAGCGGAGGTCTGTGTGATCTCCCCTCCCACACTGCACACTCTGCACCTCCAGGGATGAGGGCTTTCAGGGCCTTGCGAGATTCCAGCCCTTCCATGTAGAAAGGAAGGGTGTCGTCGCCATCATGAACCCCGTTCGTCAAAGGAGAGCCTCGGTTCTACTTCTTTTCACCAAAGAGGAGAAGAAAATTCAGATTTGGTAGTTTTCTCCAGGATCTCGTGCAGGAGGAAGGATAGAGTCAGACAAATATGCTAGTGGTTAAGCTTTGATACTTTCTGGGAGTTGGTCAGAGGAGAGCTACTATTTCACAGTCACTTTGCACTGCAGCAGCCTGTATGAAGACAGGGTGTGGACGTTGGAGACAGGCATCTCACAAGGGTGCACCTGTACTGAAGAGCAGGGGAGGAAAGACGCCTTGGAGACAGCCGGCGGGAGAGGCCTAGCTTAGCCCTATGGGGGGCCCAGCCTGTGGAGCATGACAGGAAGGCAGTGATGCAGGATCACAGGAAGTGGGCATGTGAAGCCTCCCAACTGGAAGTGGGCTTGTGAGGGACCCAACAGGAAGTGGGTGTGGGAAGCGTCCCAACAGGAAGCAGGCTTGTGAAGCCTCCCAACAGGAAGTGAGTGTGTGAAGCCTCCCAACAGGAAGTCGGCCTGTGAAGCCTCCCAACAGGAGGTGAGTGTGTGAAGCCTCCCAACAGGAAGTGGGCATGGGAAGCCTCCCAACAGGAAGTGGGTGTGTGAAGCCTCCCAACAAGAGGTGGGCGTGTGAAGCCTCCCAACAGGAAGTGGGCGTGTGAGGCCTCCCAACAGGCAATGGGCAGCGTGTGAAGTCTCCCAACAGCACCTGCGACCTGGAGGCCGTCAGCACAGGGTCACCAGCCACATGGAAGTGGACGAGAGGAGGGAGAAGAAAGGATGTTGAAAATGCTCATTGGCATTAGGGGAGCGTTTCCGCAGTTTTGCTGTTTCCAGTCTGGAGTTTTTAGTGGGATTTCATGAGGTAAAAGGGACGAGGCTGTCCTATGAGGTCAAGATCTGTGTGAAAGCACCGACATATGTAAGGTTGTCCACAGGCATGGCTGAGGTGGGGTGGCTTGGAGGGCCAGGAGGGAGCACCGGTGGTAGAGGTGGACCAGCCATGCCGGATGGAAATGTCCTCGGGTGAAATAGGAAGACGTTTATGTTGGATCTCAGGCCATGGGAACTTTCAAACTTTCTAAATCCAGTCTTCAAAACCCACCCAAGCTGCACCAAGGGTCTTAGGGAGCTGTGCAGAACTGTAGTCCTCCAGGTAGACAATGACGGGCATGGAAAGTGACTGAAGAAATGAGGAGGAATGGTCAGAGGAAGTGATGAAGTAGGGCAGGAACCTGCCCAAACTGTGGATAGGCTTTATGTAGAGGAGAGAGCAAGGTGGGTTACGCCTGGCCTACGAGGATGAAGTGAGGTAGGAACCTGCCCACTGTGGGCAGGCTCTGTGTGGAGGAGAGGGCGAAGTGGGATACACTTGCCCTAGGAGGATGATGTAGGGCAGGAAGCTGCTCAAACTTTGGACAGGCTCCATGTAGAGGAGAGGGTGAGGTGGGATATGCCTGGCCTAGGAGGACAAAGTGAGGTAGGAACCTGCCCAAATTGTTGGCAGACTCTGTGTAGAGGAGAGGGCGGGGTGGGCTATGCCTGGCCTAGGAGGATGAAGTAGGGCAGGAACCTGCTCAAACTGTGGACAGGCTCCATGTAGAGGAAAGGATGAGGTGGGATACGCCTGGCCTAGGAGGATGAAGTGTGTTAGGAATCTGCCCAAACTGTTGACAGGCCCTGTGTAGAGGAGAAGGCAGGGTGGGCTGTGCCTGGCCTCAGAGGAGAAGGACATGGCAGAGCAGGGTTATGCATTATGGGAAGACACAGGTGCAGGTGCAGGTGCAGTGAATTCTGACACACACAGCTTTGCAGCATCTAGACTTTTAGTGTCTCAGTCAGATTTAAATAATGGCAAATACATTGTTTACAAAAAGCTGATTTTAGATGCTGTGTTGAAACATACAGGATTGTATGTGAGGTGACTAAAACAGTGAGTATAATTTGAAGTTTCATCACAGAACTAAGTTCCATCCTTTTGAAATGATAGCCACTAATTTCCTGAGAACTAAAGCGTCATTTAAATCTTTAAATTCGTATTTGTGGTTTGTTGTGCCACAGTTAATCCATGTTTTGCCAGTGACTTAACACTGGGTGTTTGTAGTAACACACTGATTTCTCCAAGGGTATTATTTTCTGGTAGATTGCGTTCATAGGGATGCAGAGAGCCTGGTGTTGTGGATGATATGGGCAGACCCCTGCTCACTCATGCACTTGTTCACGCAGATAGAATGTGGGAGGCAGGTGGCCTCGGAGGTGATAACCACTCTTTCTTTACTCCAGCTGAAGCCCACGAAGTTTTCCGTGTTTCAGAGGCAGCGATGAACTTTGAATTCTTGGGAAACAGGAGGCAGAGAGATTTTATTTTTTAATTCTGTGTCTGGTTCTTTTGTGGTGGTAAAGTGGCTATTTTTGTCATATTGACAGGTGCATCTTCTGAGAAATGCTGGCAATGAAGTTACCATCACCGTTGAGTATCTCAGGGAAGCGCCGGCGTTTCTGAAGCTCCCGTTAGGTAAGTGGGAAGAGGAGAAATTGCAGGGTGCTGGAGAAATTCCTTTTTGGCCACATTATTTATCCAAATGCTACCGCATGGACTGGGATATTTATCATTTCCTGAGTGTACATTCAGAGAGAAGAAAAGTATAGGCAGGCACCGTGGCGTTACGTATTCCCATGACGTATGTTTTAACACATCCACAGGCTTTTTTAAAGGAAGTGTTATCAGACCATGCTTCTCGTCACGTAACTACATGGTTCTTCCTTCGTGCAAACTCACCATGATTGTATTTATCTATATGTTAACATACAAGCAAAGTTTACATTTGAAATACCTATGTTGACCTGAGAAATTTTCAGTGCAAAAAATGAAAATAATGGTAAATTTATGCTCTGAAGTCCCTGACATATTTTGGCACAAAGTTTGTAATCCTCTATTATACTTGAATTGTGACCCAATATGAAAGTGATGAACCCCAAATCTAGAAAAATGTTTTAGTGAAGATAGTTGTAATTTTTTCTAATGTCATTCATCTGTTGTGGCTTTATAAAGGTTGGAGTCACCACTGTTCCTTTGATTTAGCAGAGGGCGTCGCTGCCCTCTCTTTGTGGGTAATCAGGAAAGGCCTTAAAGGCAACGCCCAGGCTCCCCTGAAGTCAACATCTGCTGGTGACTCAAACCCCATGGTATCCAACACGGAATGAGGACCTCCCGACGAGCTGACAGTCGGGTTCCTTCTCATGGGGGCTGGTGGCCTGTCCTTCCTGCCACTGTCTCATGGGAAGGAACGGCGTCCCTCCCTGGGGGTTCGTATTGGCTGTTTTACTTTCTCTCTCTCTCTTCCATTGATGTCCCCTTTGTCAGTGCCTTCCTTTCTCTCCTGCCCCGAGTGGCCCGGCTGCAGCTCTCAGGCACATGAGTTGTTGAGTTCTGATCATGCATTGGGTTTTTCACTGATACAGGAGAGGGGCAGGGAAGTGCTGGGAGGAGAAGGGCAGGTCCTCGGTGAGGGCTCCACCCCCAGGCCTGGGCCCATGGACCTAAGTGAGGACAGGCACTCCTGTTCTTGCACCCAAATGTTGCATTTTCCAATACCACCCTGGCCCACCACACCCCCATCCTGTGCCTAAAACAACCCCAAGACTCTAGTGGGCAGAGACACAACTGGCTGGATGTCGAGAAGAACAGAGGAGTGGAAGAGCATGCTGACAGGCACCAGCAGACACTGGCAGGCTATCGACTGGCAGAATGATGTGGAGTTTGGCTGGGGTGGTTGGAAGAGACTCCAGGAGAAAACCATCTTGCCACTCCATGCCCCTTCTGGCTCTCCATCCATTTTCTGAGAGCTACCACCACTCCATGAAACCTTGTGCCAACCCTCCAAGGCCACGTGGGATCTGATTCTTCAGGTACGTTAAGGCAAGAACCCCGGGATACAGAAAGCCCTCTGCCCTCGTGATAAGGCAGAGGGTCTAATTGAGCTTATTAACACAAGCCTCCTCCAGACAGCAGAACTAAAGCCTGGAAGCCACCTGCAGACGGCAGAACTAAAGCCTACAAGCCACCTACAGACGGCCGAAGTAAAGCCTGGAAGCCGCTTGCAGATGGCAGAACTAAAGCCTACAAGCCGCCTACCAACAGCAGAACTAAATCCTGGAAGCCGCCTGCAGACGGCAGAACTAAAGCCTACAAGCCACCTACAGACGGCAGAATTAAATCCTGGAAGCCGCCTGCAGACGGCAGAACTGAAAGAACACCCTGGAACACACACTCCCAGTGGGGCTTCAGGAGCTGGAAACATCCACCCCTACATGCTGCCCTGGGGTCCGAGCCCCAAAGCCTGCCCATCTCTATGGCACCCCCGCCACAGGGGTGAGCAGCAGGGCACGGAAGAAGCGAGCACTCTGCCATCACAAGCCCTGCAAGGGGGGCACGTGAACTTTTCCTGTGTCAGCATTTGATCAAAAGCATCATTAGACTCATAGCGTGACTTCTGCTTTCATCTTCCTGAGCAACCAGGAACAAATCAATTTCAGCAACTCCATGTTTCCCATCGATCACAGCAGGATAACTGTGCTATTCACAATCTTAGGAAAATCGATCTTGCTGCCGTTGTACTAAACATGGATCAGTAAGATTCACTGCATGCCCTGCCATCCACAGAGACCACTCCCTCTGCTAGATGGAGCCACGGGAGCGTGGATGAGGACCTGGAGGGTTCTTGAGGAAAAGAGTAAGGGGTGCTGAGAGGCTGTGTGTGAGAAAGGCGAATATTCCCAGGGCGGTAGAGGCAGAACATGTTAGCAATCGGACAAAAGTTCGAGGGAGCGAAATGTCACACGCGGCACAGTGGTGCACCCCCTGGGGTTTTGAGAAACTTTGCTGTGAGTCAGGAAGGGGGTGGACGTGATGAGAGCTGCACAGAAGTTCTTGGAGCCAGCAGGAGACTCAGGTGTCAGACACATCACGAGGCCCAGCAGTGAGCTCGGATGGGGGAGGAGGACTCACTTGCGAGGGGGCAGCCTGAGTGTCTGAGGATTCTGCAGCAGCTGTGACCATACAGGCTCACCAAGGAAGAAACTAAGACATTTCATTGTTTTTTGCCAGAAAGAAAAAAAAAAGAAGATAGTGACTTGGACAGGCGGAGGTGGCACAGATAAAGGAGGAGACAGATGGAAAGCAGGGAGTGCTTTCTGGTGTTGCGAAGTGGGAGTGGGAGCCGGAGGACACTCACTCTGGGGCCGTTCCTGACTTCTCTCTTGGGCAAGGTGACTTCACAGGCAGAGTGAGATGGGTGCTGCGTCTGAGCCAGCTTCTCCGGCTGCCGTTAAAGCAGCAGAATTTAAGCAACAGCAGCAGCAACATTGCAACAGCAGATCACAGAGGAAGTGCCCCAGGCAGAGGTTTCCACCGAGCGCCTAGAGATAGCACCGAGCCTGTGTTTCACTCCGAGGAGGGGCAGCTCTTGCAATTCTGGTGCCTGAGCCCGCGGGGCAGAGGCTGTCTCTGTCGAGATTCACATCCTGGCTTCTGTTTGTGGGCTCTGCTGAAACCCGCAGGCTCCGGGGTCAGTTGCCGGTGACCTAGTGACTTCTGTGAGCGTTGCTGTCTGTGCCCTGAGCAGGGCTGTACTGACTCTAACTGCTCTGCCTGGACGGGCCCAGCTGCACCGACCACCCCACAGGTCACCGGGCACATGCAGGAAAGGGCAGCCTGGGGCGCAGATCACGGAGGCCAGGGGTGCTGCGTCCCCGTTAATTCAGTAAGTGTCTATTCTCCTTTTTATTTCATTCTTTACAATAAAAAATGTTAACATCTTAGTATCCATAACAATTTAAGCACGGCAGCCGTAATCTCTCCGTAAATTCAGGTGAAACGTCCTCTGCTGAATTCACACCGTGAAGGTAAAATTGCGTTTCCCGAGCAGGCTTCACTTTCTCACTGCAGAGCAGCCCCAGTGAGTGGGGAAGTACCACAGCAGATCTGTGCGGAAAATGTCCAGCTTCCACGTTGTAAAACGTTTATCAAAGAGAAAATAAATAGCCGTTTGAGACTGAGTCAAAGTAGGCTTTTATTTTTCAAACAAGTCAGGCTCTTGGTCTTTTTATAAAGATACAATTCATACAACACAAAATTCACCGTTTTAAAGTAACACGTCAGCAATTTTAAGTAGTTCACTACGTTGTAGAGGCCTTGCTACTATCTAATTCCAAAACATTTCCATCATCCCAAAAATAAACCCTGTCCCAATTAGCAGTCAGTCCCGATTCTCCCCACCCCAGCCCGCGGCAGCCGGGCATCTCCTTCCTGTCTCTGTGGATGTGCCTGCTCTGGACGTTTTCTCTGAATGGAATCCCGCTCTGGGGAGCCTTTGTGTCTGGCGTCCTCCCTCAGTGGAGTTTCGGAGTCAGCCCCCAGTGTCCCGGCATCGGTGCTGCCTTCTTCCAGCTGAACAGCATCTCTCATAGGGAATTTATCTGTGTTTATGGACCCACGTGCATACCCTTTCATCAGCTGGTGGGCATTTGTCTTGGCTTCTGTTTGGGGGATATTGCGAATTTTACCGCCATGAGCATCTGTGAATGCGTTTTTCTTCGGAGTTGCTTTCCTTCCCACCGAGTGGATGCCGCGGACTGGAATTGCTGAGTCCTCTGGTGATTCTAGGCTCAGCTTTTTGCGTGGCTGCCAAAGTATTTTCCACAGCAGCCACACCATTTTACATTCCAACCAGCATTGCCTGAGGGCAACCGAAGCAGTTTTGATAGGTTGGGGTTAGTTTTTTCTAAGATTAGGTGCTTTAATAAACATTGATCATATACTATATGTTTTCTAATATGATTATTTATTTTTGACACCAACTAAGTCAATTTTTATTGAGAATTCCTGATACTGGGTTTTTAAAAAATAATGGACTTTTATTTGTGATAGAAGAAAGATATAACTATTCACATTTCTGTTCTGGGACATGGATGACAAGATACCCATTCATCAGAAATAAATTTATAGGAATTGAGAGTGTAAGTGTGACTGTCAAATGTGAATTTATTGACTATTTACCTGTTTGCTCATTCAGTCAATGGCAGCTTGGATCTGCTGCCATTAGCCATGCGTCTCCTTGCTGTACAGCATGGACTTTGGGATTTTAGAAGATTGCAGTCATTAAAAATATTTTGATTTTCCTCTCAAATTACTGATACGGTGATTATGGATATAAAATAACAGGCATTGGGAAAGAGTTTCAAATAAATAACAGGGAAATGTGCTTCTGAACGCTAAAGGGCAGATTCAGGCGCTGTCTCAGCAACGACCCCGTGAAACGCCCTGGGTGCTGTGTGGGGCAGAAGGCTGGTCCACAGCAGAGTCTTCACCAGACAGTAAACAGTGGCCAGTGAAAAAGGAAAGTTCCTCATCTAGTAAAATTGACAACTACCCTTTAAACAAAGTTAAGCAGCTCTTATTTCCCCCAGAGTTCTCCAAGTTTCTCAGTATCTTAATTTTCATGAAAGAATATGGTATGAAGTGTTTTCTGAAAACATGAGTCTTTGTAGATATCATACAGCTAGACAAAGGGTAACAGCGAGCCATGTTAACTCGCTGAACGTTGCACGTCACATTTGCAGAGGCAGATTGGAGGTTAGAGGGTCTTGAGCCTCCGAGCCGTATCGCGTTCCTGTCTGCACCAAGCGAGGCTGGTGGTCACATTATGACTTTCCATATGTGATGCCGATTGATCTTCACTTTAATCCCAGGAAACAGATGGCACAACAGGGCATCCCAAATACAAATGCACAGAGCTGTGTCCACCAGGCTTTCTTCAGCTTCACAGGGGTCTTTCCTGCAAGAGGCCAGTGTGCCAGTTCAAGCCTCCATTCTGCAACAGCACCAGATGGTTGTAATGACTGATGGCTGGCTGGTGACAGGTCCTCCTGCTAGTGCTGTTCTCAGTGCTTCTTTCCTCTTTCCAGGCACTCAGGTGATCTAACAACAGGGCCTGGTCTCCACTCATGGATGCATCAAAGGCTCCTTTCTCAGTGTTGGGAGGCCTCTGTTCCACCTGGCTGGGAATCTAGCACGGTCAGGCTACTGTGTTCACGGATCTGTCTTTACGTGGCAATACCACAGAAATGCTGGGTGAAACACTAAGCCGCATGGGAGCAGCCCACTCTTATTGTCCAGCCTGAAGATATTGGTGGGAAGGGACAATAAAGGAACAAATACAGCCTTTCTCCCTGAGCTGTTCCCAGGACCTTGGAAATGGCATGAAAGCGCTCTGCGTCCCCTGGGTGATCCATGCAACGTGAAGATCTATGAACTGGCTTGCTTCTGTTTAGCAGATGTAAACTCTGGTTGCACGAGCCTGTATTTCCAGGGAAATTATGTTATGAGCACCTGTTTTACCTGTAATGTGCTAAGTGCTTTGAGTGTGAGCTTTTCAATATTGTCTCTGGAAAAAAAAAAAAACCTTTTGAGTGGCCTGGTACGATCATCTCCTTTCAAAAGAGAACACCAAGATCACAGAAGGCGCCTTGTGCTGACCACTCCAGGGGGGCATGTTGACAGGGAGGGCCTGGGCTGCCAGGGGCACACCTTCCCGATGCTGTCCCTCCACCCTGGGGAGCCCTCACAGGAGCCGGCAGTGGTCCCTCCCTTCAATCTGAGGTCAGATCTTGGTGAGGAAACTGTACCACGGCAGGAAGGTGAGAGGCCATTGGGGATGACCCAGCTCATAACTGGGCTTCAGCTTCTCTGAGGGTGACCAGGCATTTTGGCGCTGGTGACTTCCCATGCAGAGGTAGAACTGAAGTCACTCCATGGTCACAGTGTGCTTTGTCGAGGCACCAATTGGAAGGAACTTCTCTTTTTTTGCTGCAGGGTCCCCAGGGCCATCCAGCGACCACAGCAGTGGGGCCTCCTCTCCCCTCTTTGACAGCGGTTTGCATCTGAACGGAAACTCCAGTAACACAGTAAGCATATAGATTCTCATTAAATTTTATTTTAACAGAAGTATCAGTAGCCCAGAGATAATCTCTAGACAGAATTAAAAAGATGCTGTACTGCCCAGTGAAGATAATTGTGATGGTTTGAGAGGAAATACTTAGAACACAGATTCAAGGTGCTGTTCTGTTGACATTTACTCCCACGTGGGACACCTCATGATTGCATTATGGGATATTTTAAGCTCATAATTCACAGCATCTCAGTGAGCAGGCAAGAATACTTTGAGTCCTGCCTCTGATTTACATATCACTGTGACTGTAGGAAGGATTCAGGTTATTTTTAGGAAACTTCTGTGAGACTCCCATTAATTTCTTAACAGAAAATACCTAAGGAGGTATGAACACTGTATAATGCAGTGAGTTTTAATCACATTCCAAATATCCACCCTCCCAAGGAAACCAGACTCGAGCAAAAGGAGAACCTGCAGCTCCCCGGGGCATGGGACTGGGCTGTCAGAGAACCTGCAGCTCCCTGAGGCACAGGGCTCATGCCCTCCTCCCTCAGAAGCCTGGGCTGTCAGAGAACCTGCAGCTCCCTGAGGCACAGGGCTCATGCCCTCCTCCCTCAGAAGCCTGAACTCTGACTCCCACAGGGTGACCTGTGAGCTGCACCCCATGGGGAATTCATCATCCACAGAGGCATTAGTGCACGAGAAATGTAGAATCCTGTAAGCTGTTTGAAAAAATGTTTTATTGTAAATCATTCCAGTCACATCATCAAAATGACCAGATACTTCATACACAGGGAGAACAGAGAGAAAAATATTCATGTTTGTACAATCTGTGTTTAAGATGTCTGACTACTCCATTTCTAACCAATTAATTGAGCTTTTGATAATTAAAAATTGCATTTAGACTCTGTGTCAGTTATGAAGCAAAATAAAACAAATGCCCATGAAATTGCAGTTCTCATCAATAATTAGAGTATTGTCCCTAGCTTTTCATCTGTGTACTCTTCCATACTCCATTTTCTGGCCTGCCCAGAGATATAAGGCATCCTGAATTTTGTCTTTATCATTCTCTTGATTTAAAAATGTTTTATCTGTAAATATATAATTTCATTTTATTGCAAGGCTTATAAAATATTATTCTGCCATAGTCTTCTGAGATTTGCATGTTTACTTACTGTTTGTTTCTATGAGGTTTTTTGCTGTATGATATTTCACTACAGTTTATTTATCCATTGTCAGTTGCCCATGGACACTTGGCTTTTGTTTTATGTTTGTTTTCCTAGTTTATCATCATTAAAACCAGCACAGCCATAAAGATACTTATAAATGTCTCTTGGCTATTCTATAAGGTAGAATTTCTGAGTGCTAGATTATGCTAGGATATTCTATTTTCAAAATAACAGCAAGTTTTCTACAAAAGTGGCTGTGCAGTTTATATTCCTGCAGCTCTAGGGAATTCCAGTTGAGCCACAGCCTCTCCAGTGCTAGGTAATTTTTGACTTAATATTCAAAGTACAGTAACTGTAAAATTGTTCTCTCTCTGGGACTCTATTTCATTTCCATCATTACTAATGAGTTTTATTTACTTTTCCTATTTGTATTTTCCTTTGGCTTTTCCTCTTCTGTGAAATGCTATTCATCTCTTTGGCACATTTACCATTAAGGTGATCTTTTTTCTTACAAATCCGTTGAAATGTTTAATATATACTTGGTAATAATATTTTGGTGGTAATGGGTTAAAAGTCTCTTCCTACAGCCGATAACTTGTCTTTTTCATTTTGTTTGTGCTATCTTTTGTGGTCTTGTGGTTTTAGGATCTTGTTCAAGAAATCTTTCTTATCCTAAGTTCATAAAGATATTTCCTTATATTTTCCTCTAAATATTGTTAATGTTTGCTTTTCACATTAGGTCTCTAAATTCCATGAGATCTATTTTTGTGAAACCTGTGCAAGGTAGAGTTCCAGGTGCGTTTCTGTGGATAACCAGTTGTCTCAACACTGTTTCTGGGTGATCTGCAATGCCACGGCTCACATGTAACCAGCGCCGTGAGCACAGGCGTGTGCTGCTGAGACCTCTGTTGTATTCTGATGGTCAATATCAACGGCAATATCACACTATGTAATTACTAGGTATTTATAATCAATTTGTGTCATCTGTAGGCCTTGCCCTCTTGCCACCTCCTAACTCACTCTATTTTTTCCATCTTCTCTCTTTCTTTGTTTTTTCTTGTGAATTTCAATAGCTCTTGATCCAATTCTACAAAAAAACAGTGTTGGGATTTTGACTGTAATCACCAGATTTACTGGGAAGAATCAAACCTTTCTGACTCACCTTTCCTGCTTATGGAAAGCATATTTATTTGTGCTATCTTTGAATTAATACTGCTTCATTTCTTTCCATATTCTTTAATATTTTCCTACAGAGTCTTTTTAAAATTAATTTTACAAGAGGATTATACAATTCCATTTGTCTGCAACACCCCGTCCCCCAAGCCAGCACCATCCAGCAGGGGGAAACTGTCCTCCTACCCTTTCTGTGCAGTGTCCTCAGCGTTTCTCTCCCACTGTGTGGCTGTAACTTTTTGAGTGGACTCTAAACTCTTCCTGGAAGGAGACACAGAGCATGAGGCATGATTCGGTGTCATTCCAGGAAAGGTCAGACAGTGTGTGGCTCTGGTAAGCGCAATGGAAAAGTAACATGAGAGCAACATTGAAGGGAGGCTGCCTGGTTTGCCTGGTTCTCCCAGTTCTCCCAGTTCTCCCGACTCTCCTGGTTCTTCAGGCTTTGGTGGATATGATCCTCCTGTCAACGAGTAATTGAGGAATTATGGAAGGGACATGGGTAAAGTGACCAGCCTAATGCTTAGAATATGTCATCTTCAGACATCCTCCTCCTCCTTATCAGCAAGAGAAAGAGAAAAGTGCTGAACTTAAAAGTCTTTGTAGTTATTCATATGCTTAGCTCAGCTCCAGAATAAAGCATCGTCAGGTTATTTAAACTCATTACAGAGAATGTGAATTGCAGAGTTTTAAAATAGTTTTAATATGTTCTTTTTAGAAGGCTATCAAGACTCGATATTGAGACCTATCTGAGGGTGAAGGGTGGGAGGAGGGAGAGGATCAGAAAAAATAACTATTTGGTATTAGGATTAATACCTGGGTAAAGAAATAACCTGTGTAACAAGCCCCCATGACACAAATTTACCTATATAACAAACCTGTACATGCACCCCTGAACCTAAAATAAAATTTTTTTTTTAAAGAAAAACTTAAAAATTGGCAAATGGAATCTAATTAAACTAAAGAGCTTCTGCACAGCAAAAGCAACTATCATCAGATTGAACAGGCAAGTTACAAAGTGGGAGAAAATTTTTGCAATCTATCTGTCTGACAAAGGTCTAATATCCAGAATCTACAAGGCACTTAAACAAATTTACAAGAAGAAAAAGACATTAAATGTAGGCAAAGGACATGAATAGATACATCGCAAAAGAAGACATTCATGTGGCCAACAAACAGAGGAAAAAAGGCTCATCATTACTTATCCTCAGAGAAATGCAAATCAAGACCACAATGAGATACCATCTCAGGCCAGTCAGTATGGTGATCATTAAAAAGTCAGATGATGTCGAGGTTGCAGAGAAATAGGAACATTTTTTCACTGTTGGTGGGAATGTAAATTCATTCAACCATTGTGGAAGATGGTGTGGTGATTCCTCAAAGGTCTAGAACCAGAAATACTATTTGACTCAGCAGTCCCATTACTGGGTATATACCGAAAGGAATGTAAATTATTCTGTTGCAACAATACATGCATGTGTATGTTAATTGCAGAACTAATCACAATTGTAAACACATGGAATCAACCCAAATGCCCATCAATGATAGACTGGATAAAGAAAATGTCATAGAGATACACCATGGAATACTATGCAGCCATAAAGAAGAACAAGAATATGTCCTTTGCAGGGACATGGATGGAGCTGAAGCCATTATCCTCATCAGAATAAGGCAGGAACCAAAAAGCAAACACCACATGTCCTCACTTATAAGTGGGAACTGAACTATGAGAACACATGGACACAGGGAGGGGAACAACACACACTGGGGCCTGGCAAGAGGTGGGGGCCCACAGCGGGAGGGAGAGCATCAGGAGAAAGTAGCTAATGGATGATGGGCTTAATACCTAGGAGATGGGTTGATAGGTGCAGCAAACCATCATAGCACACGTTTACCAATGTAACAAACGTGCACATCCTGCACATGTACCCTGGAACTTAAAAATTAAAAAAAAAAAAAACTTTAGAAGGAGCCAGAAGTTAAAAAGAAAATAATAGTAAAATTGACAACTTCTTTCTCAACAAAAACAAGAGAAGCTAGAGAACATGAAATGACAGCTTTAAAGTATGAAAAAGAAATTAATTCCTGTTTAAAATTCTATACCCAGCAAACATGCTTCAAAAGTGAAGAAACAAATACAATATTTTCTGACAAAAAAGAGATAATTGTTTCCAGTAGATCAGCACTTTCATTTTATTGTATTTTTTTTGAAAAGGAAACTAAGCATACCCACATAGCCCTTCAAGTTGACATGCACTTCCTGATGTGATAAAAGTTTATTGGCACACTGCTGAATGAAAACAACATTTAAATAATTTCATTTATGTAAATTTGTCACAAAAGCTTAGCAGTGATTGCATGTGTTGTTAAATATGAGATAATTTTTATATTAACCATACTACTATATTGTTGGAATTTGGGACGATAAACACTTATTTTGTTGTTGTTCATTAAAATATTTAATTATATGATAAACACTCCTGGTATAATATCAAGGAAAAAAACATAGATGAAAATGTTTTAAAAGTCTCAAAATCCTGTGAGAATTTTAGAGACATTCTAATTGGTTTTCTGGATGGTACTTTAATAATCTGAAAGCCAATTTTCTGTGTAGTTAGTTGACCATTGGGCCCTCTCTTGTGGAGATGATTTAAAGCATTGTGATTATTCTTCGCAC